TATATATATATATGCTTTTTTTATTCTTAGTTTAGAAAATTTGGTGGGTAATCTAAAAGTCCATGCTGGAACAAACTTTTTGGATATACCAGGAGATGTTTATAGTGTAGAAAATGTAAGCGTCAACTCTAATTATGATGACTATTTACTCATTAATGAGATTGCTTTGGTTCACCTTAAAAATCCTATCATGTACAACAAACTAGTGCAACCGATAAATCTTATGACATCCGATGAAGAACTCGAGGGCAAGCCGTGCACATTATCAGGATGGGGAACTACTTTGGTAATATTGAACTCATCGATATGGAAGTTTTTCAGTTACATATATCCAAGAATCAGACGTTCTCTTTTAGAAAAACTAGTTACTTTCTCTTTATACAGGGTGAATCAAAGTTGTTGAACCAGATTAATTTTTACCCTATGAGAAAATTATCAACTGCACATCTAATTATCGACTTGGCGGTATAGATATACCGAGGACGTGTGGATATACATTGTACGAATTAATGATCTGAGCCCAAAGAAGTATTTAATGCAAATCGGAGAAAAGAAGAAAATAGAGAACAGAATATTATAATATATTTAATTGGAAATAGAAAATTATACAAGTCTACATTAACGTTTTTGTTTTATGTTATACAAATAATATTAAATCTCCTTAACTCTTCTTCAGTCACGGCATTTCTAAGTACTATTTTGATAGTGTTCAAAAATAAAGATCCCACACAGCACACTTTATCTTGATCCTTTATCCCCATATGGGATGTCCGCGGGATCGCTTTGTCAATATGGGACCATTTGGGATATCCTCAGGATAAAGTGTGCTTTGTGGGTGCTTTATTTTTGGATACTATCGAAATAGTACTTAGAAATGCCGCTCGGATCAGCAATTTGCACGATGCATATCCATGCGTCCGATCTACACCGCTAAGTCGATAATTAGGTGTGCAGTCGATAATTTTCTCATAGGGTAAAAAGCTGGTTCAACGATTCTGATTCACCCTATATATCATATATGTAATAACACGTTAAGGGGATGATGGAGCCGCCTGTATTTACGTTCAGACCGTTAGTGGCGCTTAGTTTAAAGTATTGTAGGTAACATAAGCGGTCTTCACTCTTATTAGCGTTTTTAATGTTTTTGTTCCTGTCG